ACATTGACTTGCAGATCAAAAGCACAAATACAATCAAAAAATCGTACACCTGCTTCGGCAGCATCAAGGAGTGGTGCATCGCGTGGTGGCACTCCGGTCGCGAGGACTCCGACGATTTCGCCTACGAACAGGAGGAGCCTTCTGATTTAGGGTATGCAACACCAGTAACAATTGAAACTCCTTTACAAAGCTCCGTCTCCAGGTAGTAAAAAACAATCAAAATTCTGATCTTTAATCGTCTATATTTCGACACAATCGTAAGCCGACACCGCACCAAACTCTCACTCTCTCACCCCAAGTTTTTCCGTATGACTCGCATTTGGAATTGCACCCAGAGCACTTTTCCGTTAAAAGCAAAAAGCAAACAAACAACTCGCACCCAAAAATATATACATATTATATATGTGTTTCTACTTCGATTTCCCGTCCAATGCCAGTGCACACAAACGAAAAGTGGCAGTGGTAAAAAGTGTCCAACACGCAATCCTTCACTGGCCATCACGATGCACCAAAAACCCATTCGCATTCGTTTTCCCAATACTAATCCCCTCCACTACCCTCCACTCCCCTCCACACACCGCAAATCCATCAAAGTCGTAGCATCCAGCACTAAAATAATCCACGTAGATGGAAGGCTTTGCACCACTGCACACATCGGGATGAAAACTAATTGAGGCTTACAGTCCGAAGGAGGTGGCCATTGTGCTACCGAGTTTGTTGATTCCGATAGCTGTAATTAATTCATGAAATTGGATTTGCACAAGTGATAGTTTCAGCTTAGCTTGCAAATCTCCCATGCGGGCTAAGAGCAATTTCTGAATGTGAAATTCAATGATTGCAGTTAAATGTCTGCAGAGGAAAACCCACCACAAGTGCAGATACTGCATTAGTCGTGTACCGATGTCAAAGGCTTTGTTTTGGGAGCCTCAGAAATCTCTAGAGATTTGAGAGCAGTTTCAAGGGTGTTATAAAGTTATTTCTAGCAGAAAATAAATTTTCCATGTCATGAAATCATGCATAAAATAGGCTACACAAGTGTTTCTTATTTTGAGAAATTATGTGCAACCTCTATAGGTTTATTTGACAAAAAAAAGTCTAAACAAATATAATCTTTTAAAATATTTTTATGAATATAGGTTTTATTAATTTTTTTTGCTAATTTTTTAAATTTAATTAAATTAAAATTCATAAATAAAGCTTTTCCTTAAACATCTGTTTGAATGGCCACAATTTCGGTTCAATTAGCAAGAGCCACAAAAATTATATTTTGATGTTTGCACATTCAGCCCCAAAAACTTAACAGAGCTCAATGAAAACTTATACGCATCGTTCACTGGGGAGTAATTAGCAAAAATAAACAGTTGAACACATTAGCTAAAATGCAATTTAAACTGCAATCCATTGAATTAGCGAAAATGAGTTTTTGCGATGAAGAAGCAATGTGTCACCATTTAAGACAGCCCAAAATTTATTCATGAAAATTATAACTAAATGCCATAAAAAGCATTTTAAAAGATATATGAGCATTTCGCTGTACTGGACTGGCCCAATTTATTTTTGTGCCACTGGCATTCGACTAGGTAATCGATTTAAGTTGCGATTTCCGGCCACTTGTTTCCATTCCAAAACGCACTTGACCACATGAATGTATTTTGTATGTAAAGTGTATGTGCCACATTTAGACGAGCATCCTGAGTTTGCCCCCAAGTTGTTTTGTTGTTTTTGCCTGTCAGTGTCTGTTTTGGAGTGGTCCAGTCCACTCTGATGTGTTTGAAAATGCGTTACCAACAGCCACCACAACATCCTTTCGCTTCTCTCTTTTTTGTGTACCACGCACAGATGCACCTCGATGAACGTGATGCGGGACAACTACTCGATGGGCGGCAGTGTGAGCGGCGTGCGTCCGCCCAGTATTCTCTTGTCGGATGTCTCGCCCACACCGCTGCCACGCCCACCGCTCGCCTCCATTTCACAGCTGCAGGAAATGGGTGCGGTCACGGCGAATGTGAATGCCAGTGGCAATAGCAATGGCAATGGCAATGGCAATGGCGTCATTAACAACAACAACAACAGCAACAACCATAATGGCAATGGAGCGGTAAATGGAAATGGCGGCGGTGGCGTCGCCGGAAACGGAAGTGGAATCGGAATCGGAACAGCCGGAAATGCAGCGCACCGCGACTCACGCACACTGCCCGTGATCAATCGCATTAACTCGCGTTCGGTGAGCCAGGATTCGGTGTACACGATACTCATCCGCCTGCCATCCGATGGGGCATCCAGCAATGCGGCAAATGGCGGCGGCGGGGGTGGTGTAGCACCTGCTGCCGCAACCTTGAGCCTGCAAGGCGACTGTGCACCCTCCATCAAGATGATACACGAGGATGGGCCCACAACGGCGACAGCAGCGAATGCCACAGCAGGGGCATCTGGAGCCGCAGCAGCAGCACCTTCAGTCGCCACCCGACGACCTTTGCCCTCGCGCGACTCCGAGTTCAGTCTGCCACTCGGCCGCAGGATGTCCCATGCCCAGCACGATGCCCGGTTGCTCAACGCCAAGGTCATACCCAAGCAGCTGGGCAAGGGGGGCGTGCCAGTGGGCGGGGCGGCCGGGGCGCACGCCCTCATGAATGCCCGCAATGCGGCGAAGAAGAAAAAGAAATCACAGGAGAAGCGGCAAGAGTCGAAGGCGGCCAAAACGTTGTCGGCCATCCTGCTGAGCTTCATCATCACATGGACACCGTACAACATCCTGGTGCTGATCAAGCCGCTGACCACCTGCTCCGACTGCATACCCACGGAGCTGTGGGACTTCTTCTACGCCCTCTGCTACATCAACTCGACGATCAATCCCATGTGCTATGCCCTCTGCAATGCCACCTTCCGCCGCACCTACGTGCGCATCCTCACCTGCAAGTGGCACACCCGCAATCGCGAGGGCATGGTGCGCGGCGTCTACAACTAGACTAGTACACATTGTATTTACACTTAATCACCCACTCCAATCTGATCTGGCCAGAGTACCGGTTTAACTACTAGTAGTTGCAATAAGTGTTGTGTGCTAACATTTTTTGGGCGGCAGTAAAACCAAAACTAGGCTTAGTGATTACCCATATTGACAAGCAGTACTGATTTTTTGATGTCTAGCCCCCGACTATATACACGCATTACCATTCGCGGAAGGGTTGCCTTTTCCTTGTTTGCCACAACTGAGGTTTTCGATGGTTTCACAAGTTAAATTAGCAGTTAAATTGTGCAAGAGAATAGTCATCAGCTTAAATCTCTTGATCTCAAGTTCAACCTACTGCTTCCAAACATGCCAAAGATCTCATTTAGGTATCTTTAGACTTAATTCCCAAGGCAACCCTTTCCCAGCACCTATCCATCAAAGTGTAAATCACTAACCAATGATCATGATGAGTCATGAACCCGAAAAGCGAGAGATTCCATTTTGTTAGGCGTTTACGTACTGTTAGGTAGGCACATGCTCGATGCAAAAAGAATTTAATACAAATATAGTGGATTACGATTTGCAATTCATACACATACACATATATAAGGATATATTATATTATATATTTATTATTATACACATGGCAAATGAGTTTAGCTTAAGTTGTTGGCGAGGGGCAGAGAGGCGAAAAACCCAAAAAGCTTTAAAACAAGTTCAAAGTAGGAAGGATTAAGTTCTGGTTGCAACTTGGCCAACCAGTGGCAAATATGTTATACGTTATATGTTATGTTCTCGATCCGATTTTCGTTGTGTAGGTTTGGGAGGGGATATGATATGTATTTAATCGTAGGGGGAATATTGTGATTGTACTGCTCGTTTTCGATAGTTTGAATCGGTTTTTTTTTTTGTGTACAATACATGTGCGTAGAAACCAAAAAACAAAGCGTCAAATCAATTTGTAGACACATACCTGCTAAAATATCTGAATATGTATGTATAAAATTACGATTATTTGTATGTATTAAGAACGCAACCCACCATGGTTAAACAACTAAGAACAAACCTTTTGTAACTGACGAAACGAGGGGTAGCCTAAAAAAAAACCAAGAGTAAACCACAGTAACGCAAGCAATATGTTTGGGAAATGTGTCGAAGAGATGGCCCAGTTGAGAAAGGATCAGGCGATCATGTGATCAGGAGTACGGATTCGGGGCAGGGAACTGGGGGACCGGAACTGGGACGGAATAGTATTTAAATATATAACCCACTAGGTTGTGCTGAACGTGGCCAATCCATCGACTGGCGGACCATCTCTTTGGACAACAGCCACGAATCGTACCACAAACTCATAGCTGTTAAACCAAAAATGCTTCTTCGAAGTGCACCAATTCCAGTAACTAAACTAAACGTAAACTGCAAGCATATTTAAAGCATATGAGAGAGTAAAATACATACAGTGTAAGCCAAAAAAAAAAAAAAGAAAACGACATCCAGGTACTACGATATATTCGATGCGATCGGGGGAGCGAACATTTTTAATGAGTGTGTAGGTAACGTAACCAATTGAAATATTAACAAATTGTTGGCCCCCTCCCCCCGTTTCTCTGAGTGTTGCGGGGCGGGGCAGGGCGGGGGCCTAGACGCGAATCAAGCCGAAATCAAAGCGACATTTGTAGTGTCTGTGACACAATACGCATATTTATATTAAAACGATACGATACGATATATACAAGTACATATATATAGGAATCCGACGTTTAATATGAAAAAGTCAAGAGCAACAAGAGCAAGTAAACCAACCAAACCAACAAACCCAAAAGACATGATTTACAACCACGCACACACATCCTAATGAAGCATATATAGTACAGCGATACTGCAAACAATATATATCCGACTAAGGCCAATCCAAAGAGTAATACCAACATATAGCCTTTAGACGTACATACATAATCTCGGACACTCGATTACAAATAGATCACGTTTTTTGACTACCAGCGAAAAGGTTTGACATATAGCATTACGGATGAAGAACAGATGGACAGCATTTTGATGATGAGAGCAGATTTAATTGCATACAATCTAATTGTTTGGAAATATACTACGATATATAGTAATACATATATAATTTAAAGCTAACAATAAAAAATGTGAATGAAAGAGAAGCTAAGTTTTAGTCGGGGTTTTCGGGATTTTCTTGTTTATCTTCAGGATTTTCCTCTGGAGACCTCATCAGCATTTGAGCATTCTTCTGTATGATCTCCAGTTTCAGCTGCATCAGCTCCTGACGCCTTTGCTCGGCCCTTTGCTGCTTGTCCTCCAGTTCCTCCAAAGTGGGTGGCTCCGAACTGGCCGCCTCCTGCATCATCTGCTGAATCCTCTTCGGCGGCTGACGCAGTGTCTCATTTAGCGGCATCTCGGGATTTTCTTCGCTATCCAATGGAATGGTAAAGGCCTCCGAGGCAGCTAAAAGGCGGGTTTTGCAAGCTTAAAAATTTCCATTAAATCGTTTAAGGGGTTATATGCAGTTTGAATTTAAAACAAAAATATTTTTATTTTAATTTCTAAGTGTACCTATATTTAAGAATACACACAGAAAGTTCCAATGAAGGTTTTTCCACCGACAAATATTTTTTTTATAAACATTTTTAACAATTTAAAGTGTTCTCTGTAAATTTAGTTTTTTGTCGGCTTCTAACTGTATACAACCCCTTAGTAGCCCAAACTCACGGTACTCCTTCTTGCTGGCCATTTTAGTTGTAGTTGACTTGGCTGATTTTCGGTCGTCTGCGGTGGCGTCTACGGACTTGGAACTGGAGCAGCCCATGCTATGCAACCATTCAGGCGCAAGGCATTACGGCTAAGACTTCCGTTTTAGTGCTACCTTTACCGTTGCCGTTTCCGTTTCCGTTTAGCTGGCAGATGGCTTAAAACGATGCTGATGTGATTTCCTGCTGCACTAGCTTGGTTGGAGCCAACATTCAATTTCCGCCGCCGTTCAGCTCATTAGACTACGGTCGACTGCAGCTGGGGCCACATTTAATGGCTCATTAGTATCGATTTTCTTGGGATATTCCGTAGGTAACCGTAGGAAACTCCAGGACACTCTAGGACACGGCCGTTTGTCAGGCCAACGCGATGGCAACTGACTGGAGAAAAATGCAATGCAAAGTTTTCCGCGCGCGTGACCATTATTAATAATCATACGACTGGCTAGGACAGCAGAACGAAACGCAGCAGGATCAATATTCACATGACCCTTGCGTGGGTGCGGTTAATAACGAAGCAACGATAGCCAGGACAAACACGGACAGACAAAGGCACACGGTCTAGCCAACAGAATGTCAATCAACCCGCTGTTGGCCATAATCAACGCTAATTGCGGTTCCATTCGCAAGCACCACCGTCGATATCCGAGTTTAGTGACCCACTCAACTTTGACCGGGGCCAAACGTGTGTGGGATGGCTTAGTCTTTGCGTTTGATTTCTGTCTCCGCCGTCGACACTTGGCCATAAATGCCCACATGGCCCAAACAACCAACAACCAACGGCTTCCGGCCGAAGACCAAGTCCAAGTCCAAGTCGAAAGAGCGAAACCCACGGAAACCGCGGCGCGTGCCAATCCACCGCCCAGGTCGTCCACACTTAACCACCGCACAGTGGCCACATTTGACATGGTTTTTAGCCAAAATTATATTTATTTTAAGAGTTTTTAAATACGAACTAAGGATTTAAACGTTATTAAGTAAATGTGTTTAAACCTTTTTGGGTTTTAACAATGGAAATTTAAAAACTATTTTTAAGTTGCTAAACTTTAATTGACCTTTGTTTTGTTATATACAATTACCATTTGTCATTAACGACCTTACAAATTTGTTGATAAAAATGTATTAAAAACATGAAAAGAAAACAATCGCTATTTCTATTAATAAAGTAAGTATATGCAAAATACATAAAGATAAAATTTAGTTTTTTAACCAAGAACTTCTTGACCTGTTATTATTTGAAATAAAAAAACCAAGCTGCTTTAACAAGAAAACATTCTTTAGGTCACAAGTGTGGTTTTAAATTTCGAACAGAAATGCTCCATTGTGCCTTGGGCTGGCAAGTGGCAACCATTAGTATGTGCCACACGTTGCGCCTTTTGTGGCCTTTTGTGGGTCTCCTGCATGCAAAGTGCCTGCGCCGAAGCGGAAGTACTCGTCCCTCGCTCATCCCTCCGCCCGCAAAAAGATCAATGGGAAGACGAAGACGAGGGCCTCCTTAGCCCCAATCGAGGGCCATAAGCGGTAACAGGTGCTAGACGGCGAGTGAGTACGTCCGTCCGTCCAACTACCTGCGCCAGTAAGTAATGAGCGACGTTTAATTAGGTTAAGTGTCAATAAGATTATGTCGTCAATCAATCAACTGCACAATACCCACCACGGACACATCCATCAAGCGGCTAAATACCAAACGGCAATTGTCCGTCGCTCTTTTTGTGAGTGTGCTTAATCCCAAGCACACTCATAGATACAGATACACACTATGTATAGTAAGGTAGTATATACCCGCCAGTGGTTGTCTATTATTATTGGGGTGGGGAATTCAGGGCGGGCGTGGCCTTTGGCTGTTCAAGTGCCATTTCGCTGGATTAAACCATCAATTGCTTCGCAATCTGCACATGCCGTTAGAATTATAAGGATAATCGCCTTTCTTTTATTCTATATAAATAAAACACACAGCACGTTTTGATTTTATGCAAAAAAAGTGGTTTATATGTATTTATGTATTGTATAATAAAACAATATAAACTAGTAACAAAGCAACATGATCTCTGCGATTTAGGAACATCCATATCATCCTTGTTTTCCATTTCTCATTTATCATCGATCATTAATCATCTCGATATCAGTGTAATGCCTTTACGATGCATAACTTGCAAAACTTTTAAAACTTACGTATGTAGATATGCCGCTGGCATCAGGGTTCTTTTCTTCTCCTTTTTTCTTGTATAGGTATAAAAATAGTATATATGCGATATAGTAGATATAGTATGACTTAGACTTAGCCGGCGATCGTCTACGAAAACTTTGGATAGACTTTAAGAGAATAGTGGTTGTGTGATGGTAATCTCCTGCTGATGATTTTCTTTTCAGATGTTGTGGGCAAGTGTGGATAAACGCAGTTCTCGGTATGGGATAGGCAGTGGGCGTGGCAGGGGGCTAATCGTATTCCTGTTTGATGCTCAAGGGTTTCTCGGCACTGGGATCGCTTTTCGATGCGGTGCCTCCTCCTGAAGCCGATCCTCCTGAAGCCTGTAACTTATTGCTTTTGATCAGGTTGGCCGCCGTGGAACTGAGTGGTATGGTTACATACTGATTGCCATCTGTTTGGGGAGATAAAGGTTTATTAATTTATTGATTTTGTTAAAAAGCTCTTTAAGTTTCTTACCCTCTTCAGCGTGGAGCTGCAAGTGTCCTGTTTGTATAAGTTGCCTCAGCATTTTCTGCGGTATGTTGGCAAACGAGGCAGCTGGGTAGACATACTTGCTGTCCGCCGGGGCCGCTCCTCCGCCCCCTCCTCCTCCTCCTCCAGCTGCTGTGGAGGTCGAGGGTCCGGTGTTCTCAGTCTGATAGTTCAATGCTGGCATGGCCTTGCTGCCAGAAGTTGACGAAGATGAGGCAGCCGCTGAAGATGTGACTGGAGGAGCTGATGCCTCTGTTTTGCTGGCCGTTAACTTGGCGGCCACCACCTCGGCTGCCTCCACGGGCATCTCCACATCCGACGAATCATCCGATTCGTTGCCCGACGAAGTGGGCGATCGGTCATCCTGCAAGGAAAGAAGCCACAGAGACACTCGATTAGTGGTGGTAGACAAACCGTCTGGTTTGTTGATCTTAAGGCTAAGCTTGGTTTCAGATGATTGGGAATGGATTGGAAGATCTTCGCTTTGCTCTGTGGCCTGTTCTATATGCCAGCCAAGTGCAGGGAGCAAAGAGACAAGACGAGACGAGATAAGAAAAACAAAAAAAATCCAATATGTTTGAACCAAATATGGCGCGAAATTGCGTATAAGTGCTGGCCAGGCTGTTCGCCGGCACGCATCTCAATGAGCTGGCGTTGCCTTAAATGTGCACACGCGTTAAAGAATTTAGAATATTGATTTCTGACTCTCCGGCGATCGGGGAGCGACGTGATCGGTGCGGGGCCATCATTGTCGTCGTCGCACCGCATCGCATCGCCTGGCATCGCATCGCCTTGGATGGTATCGCAAGCGTCATTTTAATTTTGATTAGTGCTGTCCCTCGGAGACGGCATACAAAAAAATAAATCAAAATAATTGCAAACTGTAACAATGCGATCGCCATTTTGTGCGAGGGAGATCGCAAATTGCATTGCGCATACGCCGCGTGCCCCTGCCACATCAGCGGACTTCCAATGAAATTGTAGCAGCAGCAACAGTAGCAGCAGTAGCAGCGGCAGCATTTCGCGAAAGGCAAAATCGCATTGTTGCCGCTGAGCTGACTAAAATGGGCGTCGTCATCGTTGTCGTCGCCGCAGTCGCCGCAGTCGTCGTTGTCTGCTGCCAGCCAAGCGACTTGGCCAGTGGATCAGGCGACCGCCTTTTGAGTGACAGCACCAAGACATTTTAATTAGCAAAACCAACGACGACAAACTGTCTCCAAGTTGCCATGATATACTTGGCCACGGCAACACCAACATGTGCATGTGCAACTGTTGTTACGCTCGCGGTTTTCAGTTGCAGCAGCAGATGCGAAAAAAAGAGGGGCAAAACAACTAGAAGGCAGCTGAAAGTGGAGCTGCTCGTGTAAAGGTTAAATTGTGCTCAAGCTTGCATTTTATAGGGCCTTAAATAAACCTACATTGGCTTATAGCTCATTTTTATTTACCATTAATAATCAAATTAAATGTTTATCTAATCTATTCTTTCTTGACGACAGTTAATTTACAGACCTCCCAAAGCGTTTGCAATTTCACTTCAGTAATCAAACAATTAAAATTCGCCACACAAAAGTAATAAATATAAGTTTTATTAACAAAAAGCACTAAGGAAGCTATTAGATAATAAATAAAAAAAAAGAAAAATAAAATAAAAAAGTTGTGCCGCCCCCGGGTGGACTCGAACCACCAACCTTTCGGTTAACAGCCGAACGCGCTAACCAATTGCGCCACGGAGGCTCTTGGAACTCGCTGAGAAATAACACCCTCAAGTATTTCCACTGACATCATCTTAGGGGTTGATTCCATTATTATGTGATTAAATCATTTAGCGCATATTCTTTATGCCTCCGCTTTATGTAAGCATGATCTTATTACGAAATTTTATAATATACATTCTTGAGCAGTTTAAGGTAAATATAATACGAAATTAAATGAATTTTTCATTGTGCCACAAATGACAAAGAAAAATTGTTGACGACATGCCAAGAAATTCAAGCTATAAATATTTATATATTAAAATCATTAAATGTTCTAATTTGATTATCAAAGGTTTTGATTTACATACTGCTGGCAATAATAATTCATTTTTGACCTTATCTTTCTTTAACTTGCCAGGAAATTATATATATAATAAATGAAATATTACATTTAATGCTTCTACCTTTGTTTACCTCATCATAGGCAAGGAAATGAATTTCTTAACATAGTTGTTTGTCCTAGCACATAAGGTGCCTGTCACTTTATTAAATTTTATTTAGTTTCTCAGATGGTATTCCAAATGAAGAGCCTTGCAATTTCAATTTGCCCTCCATCAATATGGAATTAAGTTCCCAGCAATGGATGCAGGACGACAGAATGATTTTGTCAGCGAATCGAACAGTTTCATCGATGGCTTATACTGCTGATTCTGATTCTACGGCTGCTGCTGCTGCTGCTGTTGATGCCAACTGCAACTTGCCAAATTGATAGTCGTGTGTCGTGCGCAAATGCCGAGCGTGTCTCATTAAATGACAATTAGAGTTTGAGCCTGGCTAAAAGCAAGGCAAAAAATACAATCGGAGCGGAGAGACTCTTGGCAATTGGCTGGATGGAATGCCAACTGGCCGGGCCAATGGCATGCAATTTATATAAAAATAATGCCTGGCCCGGCCTGGCCTGGCCTGGCATTGTCTGGCCGATCTGGCCGATCTGGCCTCGCCAGTGGTGGCTTCGAAGTTCGAACTTCGGGGTTTGGAAGCTTGGAGCCTGCGACAAATGCAATTATATAGAAATTTGTCTTGCTGTGATATGTGCGGCATGTTGTTGTTGCTGCTTGCTTTGTTGTTGTTGTTGTTGTTGTTGCTGCTGTGTGGCCATCGGTAGCTCCAAAAATAGTCAGTTTGGGAAAGGCTAATAATAAATGTTGGCAATAGTCAGTCAGCGAGTCGTCAAAGCATTGAATGAATGAATTTTCAAATTGGCTAACTGACATTCACAACCAAGGTGGCATTTTATTTGCCCCAAAAGTGAATGCGAGTGCGATTCAATTCGGTGGCCGCTGCTGCTGCTGCTGTTGCAGTTGCAGTTGCAAACAGCAGTAGTTGCAACCACCGCTGCACCACCAGCGCTCGTGTGGTGTCGTGTGACCTACACCACCGCCAACTGACTCAGTGATTGACGGATGGCACATTTGCCAATTGATTAGTTGTTTTTACCAAAATGGTTGCAGCCACAACAAAAGGCGACAACTTTGTGGCAGTCAGCACCCGCTTCAATCGCTTGAAGGCTTACAAAAACAAAAGCCAAAAGCCAAAAAGCAGGGGGGTTGGATGCAGAAAGACAGAAGGACCAGTGTTAGCCCATTCTCAGTTTAGCTGGCTGAGATCGTTCAGCATTTGGCCAATAAACATTTGCATTTTGCATGTTATTCTCTGTTGTTGTTGCTACTGTTGCTGTTGTTGTTTCTGTGGCGGCTGCTACCGTTGATGCCGTGTACATCTACCGACACTGATAACTTTAAGCCGAAAACAAAGGAATAGCCAAATGTGCTCTCTACTGAAGCCAGCGGGCTCCATTGATGCTGGCGCTTTCAATGAAAACATAAAAATAAAAATGCAAATTAAGCCTGGCAAACGAAAGCACTTAAATCTAACGCACAATTGCCCAGGGAACAAGCTAAAGGATAACAGTGGCGCAAAAGGGTAAGAATATAAGATGAAATGGGTTTAGTTTGTGTGCTGTTTTGGGTGTGGGAGAAATGGCTTTTATGGCACATACATAATTTTTAACAAAATAAAAGAGTTCCTAGACTCCATAAGAAATGTAAACATGATTATTAAACCTCGGTAGAAATGCTTTTTGTTTAAAATGTTTGAACTTAGAAAGGGCTTGTTGAATACGTTATTTATTTTACAAATTGATATTGAGCATTCCTTTAGGTTAGTATTTTAACCCTGAGTATTTACATTTACAATTCAATATGAAAAAAGGTTTTTGTTCTACAAAGTTATATAACTATAACTACAGCAAGACAATCAAAAATTTAAACAAGGCACTCATTTTTGGAAGACTTTGCTTCTTAAGAATTAAATAATATTGACATTTTTCTGTTAAGTAGTTTTTTTGTAACACTTTATATTTGATTTAGACTATTAAGCAGTTTTAAAATAAAAATTATTTTAAGTTCCTTAACCACTGTTCCTCAATTTTGTAGGAGGAATCACACAATCACTACCGTCCTGTGGCAAACATTCTGAACAGGAAACGTTGAGGCAAATGTTATGGGATGGCAATGGCGATGGCTCTGGGTGGCTAAGCAAAATGGGGCGGCTTGGCTTGTGAAACCAAAAGCCGAAAACTAAGGCCCAACTCAGTTGACACGAAGCGGCAACAAGCGAACAACCAACAGCCAACGGACAACAACCAACAGCCAACAACCACATCAGCAAAAGCAGAAGAAGCGACAACACTGCGTAGACATTTGCCAGCTAAACTGGGAGTTTGGCCATTTGGTCTGGTCTTCACAATTGTCGTCGCATCCGGGCCAGGCCACAATATGGAGTTTTAAAGCGTTTATATCCGCAAAGCGAGGCAGAGCAGAGCAAAGCAAAGCAAAGCTTTCTTGCCGGCTTTCTGTTTTTGGGCAAATCACAGTTTTGTGTCTTTTTCTTCTGTGCTGCGGGTTGCGGTTACACGGATTCACGCGCTAAAGAAAGCGGCCAGCAGGAAGTAGAGAGTTGAGTCGATTCTTCGTGAGTCTGTCTCAATCGAGCAGCCACAGCCGAGTAATCGACCGGCGGGTTCAAATTCATTAGTTCAGACCATTGAGAATGGGGCCTCGAGTCAGTTATGATGGGAATTAGCATCTATTTAAATGTCTGCGCCGCATTAAGATGCCACGATTGGCCGGGAGAGTACGAAAAACGAGCTTATTGTTTTCAGTTACCAATTATTTGGCCAAATTGCGAGGGGTAACCTGCTGCTAGTGCACTGCCGAAAATTAAATACATTAAAATATGTTTAATTGTTTTGCAGAAAATTAGAAGCTTTTGATTCAAATTACATTCAAGTATTTTCATTAGAAAAAAAATGTATTTGTTTTATTTTTATTTGGCAATCTACAGCACATAGATAAAACCAAATGTATTAGAAGTATTATTTTATCAGCTTGATTGATTTTCATATAAACTTAAAAATCTAAACAAGATTAGCTATATTATTGCTATTCAATTGAAAAGGTTGAATGTGTTTTCATTGAAAATAAAAATTTGGAAAGACAGTTTTGAAGTTTAGAATTTATTGACATAAAACAACCAAATTAAATGGGATTTCTACGGCATATCTGTTTAGATCATTAAGTCTTTGGAGAAGAGTTCAGCATTTTTGGTAATATATATACAAATACTATTATTATTTTCCCGCAGTGTGTCAGCCAAAACGATTGTCCTCAGGCCTAATTATGCGTGCGCCGACAGGCGAACAAGAGGCAACAGGACAGCAGGCCGCAGATGAAACGCCACCGATTAGCCTATGCCGCTCCCTCTGCCCCCCTCCTCCCGTTCCACATCCTTAGCCGCTGGAGGGGAGCTCCTTGCCACCGATTGCCGCAATTTATGATGGGCACTAACAACCACAAAACTAGCCAAACAAATGAAATGGAGTCGGACACAAACCGGCGGGCAAACAAACAGTTGAATGGAAATTGCAATTATACGAATACAAGATCTCAACTCGGCGTATGTTAAGTGAGTCGAAGGACTGGCGGGGTTGACTACTCATGTGGGTGCCCAGACAAACTGAGTTCGATGTTTGGCTAGATTTAGCCAAGCCGAAGAAGGTCCCTAACTAAGCAAACAATCTGGAACCACTGACAGCGATTAAACTCTATAAAAAAAACTCAGAAGATAATTGAATGCTGGCTACAGATGCTTAGATTAAGTGGTATTACAAATATTTATCAAATAAGTCATTTTAATTGAACAACTAAAATATGGCAGAAAGAAAATACTGATAGAAAAATAAATATGCGATAAATTTTGTGTTTTATGATTGCCATTTAATATATTGTTCCAATATGTTATTAAACCGAATGTTGGAACTGAACATTTCCTTTCCAAAGATGTCCTTAAAATTGATAGGAAATTGAAAATAGCTACATTTTATATCAAAGAAAAATTGGTACGATTAATATTTATAGTTAATGTTTTAAACATTTTTAAGAACTTGCAATTATAGAAGGGCTTTTCAGTTATTTGTCTTAATAAAACCAAATCTTGTAAAGAACGATCATAAAAAACATTTTATAATTTTGAAAGGCAATCACAGAGACATTACCAAGCTGACAAAATGGATATATCTGTGCTAATTTAATTAAAACTATAAATCTAATTCAGTCCAAACTGCCAAACTGCAAAACTAATTTAAAAATCAGTTCCAGCACTTCGAACAGCGCCTTCATCATTAGTCAAAGACCAAGTCGAGAATTCTTTGGATTTCATTAAATTGTGTCATTTTACAAAAAAAATGAACAAAAGCAAAAGCGTGCCCACGCCCACAAGCGAAAGAAAAAATATTCAATCGCTGATTTCATATTTTTTTGAGCGCCAAACTGGTTACACCCAACAAATTGTTGGAGAACGGAACGAAGATATCTGTATATATACCATATGATTGAATAAATTTCAATAAATACATGCAGAGATACGTCATTTTGTAGCAGGTTGGTGTAAATTGAATTTTCATGCCCCGACCAAAGCAACCGGGGACCACTCACACTCATTTGTTTGCTTATTTGTCCCCACGCAGCCAATGTATATAAAGCCCGGCCCAAAATGGAATTGCTGAGCAAGTCAAAAGCGAGTCTATAAAATCTAATACGCACACGAGCATCGAGCAAACAGTAAGTCCCGCCCACAGATCGTCGCTATATGGAGGACCATAGTATATAAAATATAAGTGCCTAATAAAACCCGAGAGAGTGCGGCTTAAGAGAACCGCTTTGAAGAGTGTGGATCAATGGTGGTGCAAACGGATCGGTTTTATATATATTTGCTTCCCTGTCGCACTAGTCGCCTCAAGTGCCGATCGCACTCTTAAGTCTCCGCAAACGGGTTTCTTCTCAGGTTTCTCCAGCGGAACTCAAGAGTTGCGATCGCTGGGGCTACGTTTTCAGTCTGTGAGCAACTGCGTGACCTGCACGACGATCGAGGAGCGATCTTCAGCTTTTTTGCCTCGATGGTTGCGATGGAAAGACGTGAAATGTGTGATCAATCAATAAGAACTGGGAAAGTGTGTGTATTAATATTAATTAAATCGAGAACATTGAAAGATGGTGACTTGAATACTTGAGACTTGATTGCACAGTGATCATGACTGCTGGCAAGGAGATAAAAAAGATCTGTGTTAAATTAACACTCGCTTAAATATAGGTAAGTCAAAAATTAAACTAAATTGTGAAATAAAGGAGAACACAGAAGTACCTTAAGGATAGATGTTCAAATCAGTGAAATAATCATATAGTAAAGTACTTTTTACTTAAAGAAATAAAAAAGAAGTACCTTAATAGATTTTAAATTCATTAAAATAATCATATAATAGAGTACATATGAGGAGTATAATAATTATAAGGTGCCGCAGATTAACAAATTTTAAATTAAATTTTTAAAATAATCTTTGAGTTCTATTCATAGCTAAATAGATATTTTAAAATCAGTGAAATAATCATATAATGCTTCTAAATATAGCTAGGACTTTAATAATGATATTCAGCATATTGATGTTTCTAAAAACATTTTTAAATTAATTAAATTAATTATAATATATGTTTACTATGAAATCTTAGGGTTCTATTCACTCCTAATTAGTAAACAAGTTTGTTAAGTGACGAACTATAGCTAAATTTAGGATTAGATTTAAAGGATTTGTGTGCTAACAATGGGGACATCAATACTAACGTATAATATATAAACACATACTTTAAAAAGTGCCTCAAACTTTTTAAATTTACTTTGCCTTCATATCAGAGCACTGATTAATGTTTCTAGAAATTGGGTTTGCAACTAAGACACTTTTCGGGGTACTTCATCAATCCTTGACCCCTTCTGACCAATGATAAGTGCAGGCGGCAGAATTATGGCCGACTAGTCGAGAACAGTTGCGATGCACCGCCAAGATAAGCCACTCAGCGAACTGCAAACAGTAGCCCAGCAGGCCGACAACTCAATCACGGGCCTACAATCACACAATCACCCCTGCCGACTGGGCCCAGTTAGAGGCCCAGCGAATCGAGTATTGGCCTGGTCAGAGATCTGGCCCAAAAGGGGTTGGGGTTTCGTGTTTGTGGGCCCGCCACATCGGCGTCCACATTTCATAAATCAGCATGAGCGCAGTTGCAAAGCGGTCGGGGGAAATGGAAATGGCAATGGAAATTGTGCTCGTTCGCCTTGGCGAGCTGGTGAAAACCGCCTGCTGCGAATCCTGGCTATTTATTGTATTTTAACAACATTATAAACGAGCATTTAAGTGGCGAGTGTTGGGATTGCTGTTGGCCCGTTTTGATTTGTGTTAGAATGCAAAATCGAAGACAATAACCAAATATCCCCGCGATACCGACAAAGCCGTTTCATAATCAGTCGGGACTGGCAGACTTGCGGGCAAAACTTGCTGGCAATAGACCATTGCCAACTTCCAACAGGCAACTGCCAACTGGCAGGGGCAAGGGGTAACATGTGGCTTGGCCATAACGTTGTCGTTGAAGCCGGGTCAAATGTCAAGCACATTATTTTTGTATTTACGTATAATAAATATAAAATGCATGATGCATTTTTGATAGATTTTCATGCCAATAAACAAGCTAAACGAGCCGCTAGAATGGTGTTTAGGCCAACACCATGGGCCCGACTCCCCAGCATCGAAGCAGAAGTCGGGGCTTCGACGATTCTTCCAACTGTTTCTCTTACCCCATTGTGTGGGTACATAAATTTGAGCTCAGGAAAAAAAAAAAAATTTAACCAAAAATAAATAAACACAAAAAGACCAGGAAGCTGCGTTTTGTGGGTCCTGGGTCTCGGTCTCATATAATTTTGTGTCTATGCAAATGTACGCGCTGCGCTGCGCTGCATTCGGTTTAGCATTGGCCCGACTTTGGCCTGACTTTTTGGTCTGAGATGTTGAAAAATCGACGATGATCGGACGGCCGATCGAGTCTGTCAGTTGAGTCAGGCAGCCAGGCAGCCAAGGAGTTTGGTACGGTGAAGCCAGACCAACCACGTTGACGTTCGCCAAACAATGCCTTGTTGACACTGATGGAAAATCTGCGTGTCACAAATATCAAAAATGCAATCGTTAGAAAGCAGGACGAGCCAGCCTCCCTCTCTTCGCATGATGGATCCCAGATCCCATATCCCCTCATCCCACATCCCACATCCCATATGATCCAATCCAATCTGATACGTCTGCGGGGCGGAGAAAACTGTCAACTGTCCGTCGAGTTTAGTTATAGATCTTATGACCGATATGCTAATGCCTGATTGCCTGGAAATGCCAAGTAGCCAAAAGTTTTTATGCGATCGGAAAGGCGAAGTGAAGGCGTTGCAAATCAGTTTGCTAGAAAATGAAGGCAGCAGGCACTATAAACATCATAAAAACCCCAAAATGATGTTAGAGCAAACTTATCAATTCTTCGCAAAAAAAAAACAATTGGAAAACCAAATCAATGACTTTAGAGTCTGTATAAATATGATAGATATTTCAAAAGTGTCTCATTTTATAAATATTTATCTAAACACCAAGAAAAACACATGCTCATATTGACTAAGGTATTAACAAACCTGAGCTCAATTCTCAATCATTTAATAAAATCAATCAAATCAATCTGATAAGTAGATCAAATCTTAGATTTTACAGAAAGAATAAAGAGATAAATAAGCCCATAAACAGTGCACTTAATGTGGGCAGTCTATAGAAAAATCTCAGATAAAATCTTTTCAAATTTTTTGATCATCTGCCAAGAGAGCCACTTCTACCCACCACAGCACAAAACACCTTTGGCCTAATTGAATGCCAATTTATTGCATTTATAGAAACAATAACAAATTCAGCTCACAAGAAGCTCTTTAAACAAATATGCCAAATGCAATATAGAAAAAAAGCGAAATGCACCGAAGAGAGTTGGGCAAAAAAGGCCAACTAAATTACTTAACAAGCCGTTGGCTTTCGACGTTGGACGTTGAACGTTGGTGGACGTCGTCGATGATTTACTTGTGCGTAATAATGCAACGCCCGCAATGCTGGCCGGAATGATCGTGGGGCTGCTCCAGGGGAGCTGTGACTGGAGCTGAAGCTTCTCCAGTCCAGCATTCGTACTCCTCCGCCTCGAGAATCGAAGGATGCCAATGGCGAGGCCGAGGTAAATGCATGTGAGAAGAAGTATAACTGGGAATGCGCCTCAATTTAAAATGCGAATTACATTATCTGATCAAATGCATTCTTCAGTGCGCTCCAGGAGGAGCACACACACTCCGTGCGGACGATCCACTCAACTCCACTCCACGAGAGGATCCCCACCATGTGTGTGTGTGTTGTTTGTGTGTGTTTGTGTGTGTGGAGGCTGTGGAGGCTGCACAAATAAATAAATTTTAAAATACAAACAAGTAGCGCGCGCAAAAAGCGCCGAGTGGAAAATTCGTGACAGCAATTGTTGATGAGCAGCGTGTGAACAGCAGCAGTCCCGTGTCCCCCATGTTACCAACCCATCTCGGCCATCCATCGATAACTCAAGATCACAGAACACGGAGAGCACAAAAAACAAACACAATGTTGTCGGGCAAACGCGTAATATTGAGCGACTAATAGCTGGGGCTTGACTTGAAAGCGAACGACGGTCGACGGACGACGGACGACAGATCGACGGCGTTTCAAAACTGGGCCCGTACACCTCCGCAGTCTAATTAACTCCTACGAGCAGCGGGCCACAGTTTTTAATTAAGGCGCGCACACACTCGATACTTTTCATCATATATATATCAGCTATATATATATATATAACAAGAATCAAATGTATATTAAAGTCCCATAACAACAATAACAGCTAAACAATCAACCAGATCGTGGGCAGCTAAAAAAGTACAGCGCAACTAAGCGGCCAAATCAAACAAAAGAATTGCACAATTACAGCGAACCTTAGAAGCGACGGAGTACTCAGGAATTTCAAAGAACTCTGGGTTCAAGAGTAGTAGTTTTTCCCACAATACAAGCAGTAATATAATTGATGCGTTGACAGGAAATCAATATAACAAGGGGGGTTTCAAAATGAATTCCTTTCAAAATCAATTTTGGAATTTCACATTTTAAGCAACAAAAAATCAAGAGAAACTATAGATAGTTTAGATTCCTAAGCAATCTAAAAAGTAATATTCTAATATGTTAAATAAATGTCTGCCAAACGAACTAAAAAGTTTTAATATATATTTCTTTAAAATGTTTAGCATTTTTTGTAGAAAGCATTGGCTGTTTATGCCTAAAGTCTTAAAAAATGCGAAATAAACCAATTTAACAGAAGTTTTTATTTTTAATATTAAGCAATCAGAAAAACTAAATATTTAACAAACACTATCTATTCGTTAGGCATTTTAATAATGTGATAGCCTATAAAGTAATTTTTTGCCTTGGTTCTGAAATCTTAGCTATCCCTTTTTGTTAATTTCTTATTTTGTGCTAAAATTGATCCAGGCAAGGATCAAGTTTTTAAAAATTTATGAAGTATTTAGAGGCCACCATTGGGAGTAATGTTTTTAATTTTTGTGGTCGTAACTAAAGAAGTACTTGAATGAGAAGTTGGGCCCAAGCTTTATTGTTTAATAAATACATAAAGCACAGCAGTGCAAAGCATGAAGTCAACTATCTGTATGTCCAAAATTCTTAAGCTTCGAAAATGAAAATTTAGTTCCCTATCTTATGTTGGAGTAGGAGCAATCTCCTCCCAAAAATTCCATCGCTTCCAGGGGCAATGAAATGCCAAAGTGCGCAAACTGTGCCAAGCTAAATTCTGCCCACTCCTCCGATCGCCTCCGCCTCCTGTGAATCTGCGATTCTGGGATGGACTGGGGGACTTTTGGACCGGCGGACTGGTGGACTGATGGACTGATGGACCGACTGACTGTCTGATTGTCTGACTGCAGAGACATCAATCTAGAAACGGCAGGCAGAAAGATAGCCGGGACAGACGATTGGCAACTCGTTGAGAGTTGACAATAATGACGATGGGACGTCGTCTTCGTTCGCATCTCTGCCTCGCTGCCTGGCTGACTCGATGACGATGATAGAAAGTAAAAGAACAGAGGCAGCATCTTGCATTTTAACTGCAATTTTAATGAGACGTGGGAAAAAGAGTGGACATACGTTGTCGCATCCAGTTCGTCTGCCTGGCTCA